CAAAGCAGTTTGGGAGCTGAAGCGTTTTAGCGGGGTTGGAGCTTGGAGGTGGAGTCCGCGGGTTTGGAGGTGGAGGACTAGGAGCTTGGAGCGAGGGAGCCTGGAGCCGTAACTAAACTGCGTGTTTGTGTTGTGGTTTTGCGTCCTGTATTTCATCATATTTCCCCAATCAAGAACCGACAAAGTCTTTCTCGATTCTTTTTTCTTCGTCTCCTGCGCTCAGTGTGTCGAATTTCCTGAACAAAAATAGGAACTCCTGGGTGGAGGGTGTGTGTGTGTGTGTGTTCACGCTGCGTGCTCATGTTGCGTGCTCATGCATCACGCCGAATCAGGACTGAATGCGCGGAGGCAGCAAATGGTGAGCGTGGTGAGCAAATGGACGCTTTCCCAGTTGAGCTGGATGACGAGTCCAAGCAGGAGTGGAATGAAGCAGTTCGTGCTGACGCAGAGCCGCCCACTCTTGATGCTGATGAACCAGTGGCTCCAAAAACTAATCCCACACCCGCTGGAGCCCTAGATGGAGATGGACCTGCAAGGGTCGGCCGCATCCAACATTCTTGCCTTGGGATCAATGGAGTTGATCATGTGAAGAGAAAAAACGTGAAGTGTTTCCACTGTAGTGGCACGATTGACAAGGGGAGTCCACGGTTCTCGTTAGTTGTCCATTTGCGGAAGCCCCCACGCTCTATACACACAGAATGCCTGGCACAATTGGACGAAGTTGTTTGCCAGAATTCAGCACAATTCTTGCGAGAATTCATCAGTGCTTCGTCTGACAGTAGCTTAGTGGCTGTGAGTCGACAAGCACTTGCAACGTTAAGTGGTTAGTGGTTTGGCAGAACTGGGTAGCTCAAGCTATATCTAGCTGCCTGATTGCTTTCACAGAGCATGTGCAAATTCGGTGGGAGGACCTGCAAAGCCGTCTAGTTTGCAGAAAACAAACAGATATGATATACACCCAGATTCTCTTGCAATTATATGAAGATATTGTTTCAGGCTGCTGGCAGGACGTCCGTGAACAGGATCAGGGGATTGCAGTGTGTGTTCTGCGCGCCACACGATTTGATGAGCAGACTAAAGGATCACTTCATTGTCATTGAACTCTCTTGGCGCTACTATGGCTGTTTTTGCTTCTTTTTGGTCGCGAGGACAAATATGGACAAATCACAAGATTCAACCTTCCATGCAATGTTTCCAAAGGTTCTCGTCGGACTTGCTTCTGCAGGCGCCGATTGACTTTGTACTACGTGGGAGTGTGAGGGAAGCAGGTACAGATCACGATGAGCCCATAGGGCTCCAACTTATACCAGGCTATGCCATGGATATGTTCCGGTTGAAGTGACTCAAATGGATAATTCCATGTTTTACCTTCTGAAACTTTTGATCTTCTAGTCACTATGCCCAACTTTTGAGTGACTGGCCTCATCATAGTGGGCCAAGGAGCAAAGATTTTGGCGCTGGCCAAACTAGATCACGCATCTATTTCATCATGGTGCACCACAGTGTTGGAGACCAAAACACCTTGGATACCTAGCCAGAATGCTGAGTACTTTGGATTTGTGGTCATTCTCACATCCGATGTGATGCCAGGCCGTTGCAGTCCGTGCCTCCAAGGACCACATTGGTGCTTTGCTGCAAACTTTCGCTGCGTCCATGCCAGCAACCTCTGTCTGGGACGCTGTGGACTACGTCAAATGCTGCAAGCATGATTGGACTCCAGAGGAAGAGGACCTTGTGCTTCAGCTGCAGCGTGCGTTAGGCGAACCTGTCGGAACCCGTCGGAACCTGTCGGAACCCGTCGGAGCTGGAACTCTTAGAGGAACGGGACCTTGTGGAGAACATGTTTAGGGGGTCCCTTAAGCTTAAGAGTTCTACTTCCGACAGGTTCCGACGGGTTCCGACGGGTTCCGACGGGTTCCGACAGGTTCCGACAGGTTCCGACAGGTTCGAACAATGCTTGGTTGCCTGACTTGCTTCTGCCTTGCAGCAACTAACCTTCAAGAACTAGTGTTGGCATTGCATTGAGACAGCTTTGGCACCCGTGTGCGTCATGGAATTCTCGCTCCCTGTGTGCACTACCTGTGGACAAGAGGCTCGCTCTGTGGATCGATTCACAGGAGAGAGACAAGAAATTTTGTATTGGCCGAAGAAGAGAAAGGATCAGGCAGGGCTGGGTACAGGGCTGTGCTGTTCATGCAATTTGTCACCACTGCTGTTCCTTGAACTGAACCTGTGATTCCTGACCCATGTGCAGGATGGGAATCGCACAATTGAGGAGGGTTGTGAGTGCGGTAATTGCGGGGAACCTTGGCTTTAGTCTAACTTTGGCTCAAGTTGACTCGGGGCTGTTCAAGAAAACCGTGGTTTGTGAGGATTCACATTTAGTCCAACACAATCCGCAACTCAGGGAACCAGGAGGAACAATTTTGGTGGCATCAGCCAGCAAGGACTTGAAGCCGCTATGAAGAACAATGAGGCCTGACACTCGATACTCTACCAGTCTTTGCATTTTTCAGGGTTCGCTCTGAATGACACTTTAAGCAGACTGCAAACTGATTGCTCCAGGAACTTACCGACAAGTGGCAGGAGAAACGTACTGAGAATTGTATGCCCCAAGCAGGCCGCAAGAGAAAACATGAAAACGTTGACTTGGAGAGCTACAAGAAAGAGAGCAAATTTGCCGAGTTCTGGGAAGAGGGAACTGTTCAACCGCTGAGCAATTTCCTACAAGACCATGACATCGATTGCGCGAATATGTCGGAGCAGCGCCAGCGTAAAATTGTTGAGGAGGAGAACTTGGGGAACTAGAAACAATGGAGTCAATGGAGTTCTAGCTTCTTCTAACTTCTAGCTTCTAGTCAACTTTCTTTCAACTCACACCTGTGAGAAACGACAAACAATAGGATCAGCTAAGCAGATTGCCTGTGCAACGCTTTCATCCAGGATTTTCAGATGAGCGTCCTGGAGGATAACGGGAAACTTGTGGTTGCGATAATGGATGGGACTCGGAAGGTGCGTTTGGGCAATCGCAGCAGTGTGTCGAAGAAGAAGGCGGGGCAATGGTAGAAGGTGTAGGCAATCCTTTGTTCTTCAGAGCTCAGGAAAACAATGTATATATATATATACATTCTATTTGACTATATTTATGTTATAAATATACCGTTATATAAAATATATCACACGTTGCCGAGGAATCGGAATCAATGATGCGTCTGCTATATATACGGTTCTATACACAAGTCATTCACAATTCTCCTTTTTTTTCTGCAGGCAGAGCATCATGACACCGGGGCTGCTGCTTCAGCCACCTATGCAGAGATGTCGGCTGGGATGGACGAGTTGAGAAAGCGCACCCACACTGCAAGGGAGGTTGAGCAGAAAGCGCAGGAGGTGCGGTCCAAAATGGAGAAGGCTGGATCGCTTGACACTGCACTTGGCGCTGACACAAACCCGTCTGAAGATGAGGATATGGGCTTTCATACCTTCCTCCCTTCAATGCTGAGTCTTGCTTCTGCCAAGACGCGGGCCAAACGGCCCATGCCCGTACCACCCATGCCCCAAGCCTCTGCGGGGGGTGAGGGCAAGCTGCGGAAAGTTTCAAAACCAGGCAGTGCTCCATCAAGTCTTCCCTCAACGCCGGCTAGTAGTGCTCTCGGCATTCGAACACCAGAACCACTAGAGCCTGAGCCACAAGAGCCTGAGGCGAAACCGCGAGACAAGAAGTCTATGGAGAAGTTGAAGAAAGCCCGTGAATTTATTGATGCCAAGAAGAAGGCTTTCTCTGATGAGAACCTCTGGGAGGGAAAAATGAAGAGCCGAGCCTTCCAGTCTTTGTCTACTCAAATGGAGCAGAATGCCCACAAGATTCGAGGAATTGACACGGATGAACCAGAGGTGGATTTTCTGGTGGAGCTCATGCTAGATTTTTCTGAAAAGGTCAATGCAAAGTACGAACTTTTTCAGAAGATGAAAAAGGACCCGGCCAACATCCTTGGAAACATGGAGAGCGAGGATCTGGACGTGTTTTGCAGTCTTTCTCCTGCGCTGTTTGCCAAGATCGTCATCTGGTTGGGAAATTCTCTGCTCAAGAACGCGGAGGACAACTGTTTGCATTGAAATCACATGAAATTATATCTCCAAATTTCGTTGCGCCTGTCTCTGTAATAGGTCCAAGCAGTATGCATCCCGCTATGAAATTCTGTCTGGAAATAACTTACCCATTAGTTAAAGACATGGCGGATCATTCACACCAAATAGAGAGATGACATGCCTGGGCGCTCGGAAATCATTTGTGGAGAACTGCTCAGCCCTCATCTTTTGTCTCCACGTGGTGCAATGCATTGATGCGCCAGGATCCAGCAAACTCGGTGGCGCTTTTCAAGTTGATGAGCTTTGATCCTACCGACGGTGCCCTCACCCTGTACCACTACATGACTGCTGCAGGTGGCAAGGTGAAGGGATTGGCTCATGGGATTTCGCTACAGCAGCAGCTGCTGAATTTGTGGCATGAACGGATCTGGAGAATGAAAGGCCAAGATGCTCAGGTCCGACAAATCATTCGATCGCATCTCGGCCCAGAAACTTAATCTTTGTCATTCTTGGCATGTTTTGCCCATCCGCGCAGTCTGGGGTTGTCAAGCAAAGCATGTGTTGTTAAGCAAGTTCCAGGCTGCCGTTGAAGGACTTCGACCTCTCCAAGTTGCCCCCTGACTGGGCACCAGCAGATGCAAACGATCATTTGGAATCTTATTGCGCGGCTGTTCGTTTGGAAATGCAGGCCATCAAGGTGGCAGCAGTTGATTTCCAAGAGGACTGGGTAGGGTCAGAGTTGGGAAGTGTCAATTCGCCGGGTATCTAGTTTGACGCCCAATTGGCGGGCGGCTACCTGATGCACATTGACATCATCTCGTTGGTTGTCCTGGCCATTGTCTACTGCGCTTGGGCTCCCAGTCTTCGTGGGAGCAGGAAATAGCAGGAACACTTTTTTTTGTATAAATCAATTATGAAACATCATCTTTGAAGGCCATGAAGAAACTATTCAAATTGAAATGGCCAACCCTTAGACTTAAATGAGAGTTACTAGAACATGCCCTGTTTGTCAGGCGATATCCCGAGTTTGAGCTGGAAGGTTGACAGAGCCAAATCAAAGGCAACCAATCCTAGTCCTAGTTAAGTTACCTTTGTTAGATTGTTTGGGTGGGTTCTCGACGAGGGAGTCGAAGGGCTGAGCGTTTCTCCAAAGGTTGTTTCCTTCTGCGGAACATGGATGAAATTGGCATGTTCACCATGACAATGAAAACCTCACTAGATGAGCAACGCCCATCTCCTGGTTGGAGGGGTTGGGGCAGCGTGTTGGGAGCGGATGGAGTGGAGGGAGTCGAGGGACCGACGCCGAGTGTTGATGTGTTGCTTGGGTGTTTTTCCAAAAATTTGTTCCCTTCCCCTGTGCGGAACAAGGATGAAATTGGCATGTTCACCATGTTCACAGCAAGTTCTTCGGTTCGTT